TCTCTGGCTTGAAGTGGCGAGAACTCATGTCACCTTAAAAACACAGAGAGAGAAGATATAAACGTTTAACGGAGATTCCTCCACATCAGGTTGGAGAAATCACTGATTCCTTTTGGTCTGAGCTGCTGAAGGAGGCGTCAAACCTTTCCTGACTCCTGGGAGGCTGATGTTGACGCCGTCTCCGTCCCCTGCTCCCTCGTCCACCAGAGCCAGGCTGCCGAACTCCGTCATCTTCCGCCTGTCCAGGAACTCCTGAACAGGAAACGTTTTTTGTTTTAGCATCAAATTTATCACATGTTTTGCCATATTTTCAAATTAGCAAACCATATTTTATTTCACACGACATTGTGTGTGGCTACATAATCCCTGGACATTTTCATTTTTACCTCCATGGCATCGAAGGACAAGTTGCAGGAGATTTCAAACTTCTTCACGAGCATCTGCTCCTTCACGTTGTAGATGCAGACAAACTTGGACTGACCTCCCGCTAAGATCGACTCCCCGTCCGCAGAGTAGCACAGACACGTAAAGGACCTTCATGCAAAATGAAAATATAACACACAACCTGGATCAAAGCCTTATCTAATGCAGAAACCCCCAAAACAGCCAAACTGAAACACAGCTGGGGACAGATGTTGTGACTGTGACACTCACTTGCCCTTGGCGGAATGTTTGGCTGTGATTTTATCCGTCTCTTTGCGGCCCATCTGCAGGTCGTGGCGTCCAGCGATGGAGCCGGTTTGCGTGGCGGTGTGGGGGTTCCAGATAGCGACCTCCCCGTTCAGAGTGGCCACGGCCAACTCCTGACCGTCAGGGCGGTACATCACCGACAAGCCTGAGGGGGAAAGATACCACAGTGAGTGAATAAATTTTTTTTAACTCTGGTGCCCTCTTGTGGCTGTATGATAAAAGCACAGTCCACTAGTGAAAAATCTAAAACGTCCCAGAATCAGGTAACTCCTTTTACCGTCAGATGTGAGGGGAAGCGTTTCCTTGACCTGCCAGCTGTCCAACATGTCCCACAGCCGCACGGTGCGATCCCACGAGACGCTGGCCAGGATCGACTGCACGGGACTGAAACACAAGCAGCTGACTGGACCCTCGTGACCCCCGAGCACCTGATGACTCACAGGAAGACGGAGATGAGGCAATGATACACGGACATTATATAAAGGTGTGAATGTGTGTGATCGTGCGATTACCTCCAGCAGTCTGCCGGTCTGCATGGACCACAGGAAGATCTCAAACGAGTCCTGGGCTCCTGCGCTCACCAACTCTCCGCTGCTGTCGACCGCGAGGGTGGAGAACTGCGCAGGCCGAGGCGAGGTGAACGTCCGGAAGTTCCTGTACCTGTAAATCACACAGGTGCACAGAGCAGAGATCACAAACACATTCTGCTTCCCTCTGTTTCCCCTCAGTGTCCCTCTCTGTTAAATCCTGGAGGCGGACGAGCTTTACTTCACCTGTGCAGGTCGAACGCTCGCACCGTCCCGTCCAGAGAAGCGCTGACGATGACGAAGCCGCTGGAGGTGAAGGTGACGTTGGTGATGCTGCTGCTGTGCTCGGTGAAGGTGACGAAGCAAAGGCCACTGTTGGTGTTCCACACTTTGACCTGAGGGAGGGAAACCGCAGTCTGACGTCAGATTTCAAAACGAGAAACCTAGAAACCTCATCATTCTACAAATTAAATTTGAGAAATGGCCAAACTAGAAGACGTGACACACTCACTTTTCCATCGTCGCCTCCTGTCGCGACGTGCTGTCCGTCCGGAGAGTAAGCCAGGGACGCCATGTTGTTGAAGTGTCCCTGCTGCTTGAAGACGTACGACTCGCTCTGCCACTCCCACACCAGCAGCTGACCCATCCCTGAAACAAACGCCCCCCAAAATCCAAGGAATGCAATAAGACGATCAGTCAGCAGGAAACCATGAATCCCTGCGGCGACGACCCAGAGACGCACACTGAACTCTTACCCGAGCAACCAAAGCCGATCCAGTCTCCAGAGCTGTTTATGGCCACTGAAGCAATTCTCTGATCTGAAATACTGAAGAGAAAATAAACACAAATTCAGGATTTATTATGGACAAACCCTTTTAGTTTAGGATGAATAGAATTTACAGATATGAACATTTCTACAGCAGCAGCGTTCTGAGGGTTGATTCTTTTAACTCCGCAGCTAAACGTAATGTTTCTCTCACCTGAGGGAATGAATCAGGTTGAATTCTGGGAGTTCGTGCAGGTGGAAGACACCGGAGGCGAAACCAGTGACCAGGATGTGAGTGGGCTTGTGGTAGGCAGCAGAGGTCAGGTTGTTAAAATTGCCCTCCTTGTTGAAGAAGTGTCTGCAGACGGAAAAAAAAGAAATAAAATGACGCTGCTTTTCAATTCTTCTTCTAAACTCTATTTAACTATTTAACTTCTTACTTGCTCAGCTGCTTGTATCGAACGTTCTTTGTCTTCTTCTCTTTGGGGGGTTCAGCTTTCCCTCTGATGACCTCTCCCTCTTCTCCTTCCAGCCTCTCCTCCTCCTCCTCCTCTTCTCCTTCATCTCGTTGTTTCAGTGGCTCCGGTTTGTCCCGGCTCTTCTTCAGGACGAGGCCATCCAGCTCGGTGTCGCTCTCCCACACACACAGCGTCCCGTCCTGGCTCACAGTGTACAACTGGAGACACAGATTCAAGTTTCTCTTTATTTTCTGTCTAATATTTTATGTAAAACCACATTTATCTGTTGAGAGTAAATCCCAAAGTAGAGGAAGGAAGAAAAAAACTCACATCCAGACTGTCCTTCTCGAAGAAACAGCCCACGATCATGTCCTTGTGTCCACCCAGGGAGTAGTAGATGAGGTTGGCCCAGCGCTCGGCACCGAACACCCACGTGGACATGTCTTTGCTGCCCACCACAAAACACCTGAGGGAAAACCAAGATTCCCTTATTTTTAATCAGCTCTTTGCTTCAATATCCGTCCACCTGTTTTTCCTCGTACTCACTTGGAGTCGTCCGTCCAGTCGATGCAGGTGGTTTCATCGTACGGACCGTAGTAGCTCTTGTCCAACACGAAGGCGTTGAACTTGCGCTGCTTCCCAGGAGCGTGGTACATCAGAGCAACATTATCCTTCGTCACAACAAACTTCCTGAGACGTAAAAGGACAAAAGTTCAGCATCATTTTTGTTGATGAATGTCGGTGAAATGTTGAAGTTAAATAGGAGCAGCCAAATTTAACTTCTTACCTGCCGTCAGGTGAGAAACGGATGCTGCTCACAGGCTTGTGAAAGTGGAAGTGATGGAGGACGGCGCGGGTGACGAGACTGACCAACAGGGCTGCACCATCTGCACAGAAACACATTTGGATTCTTGTAGGAAACAAACTCCTGATCAAATTGTTTTTTTTATTAGACATCACATTATAGGAAAGCGTCATTCAGCTCGCTCGCCTTCATCCACTACTATCGCCACGTTCCCATCAGGAGAGACTCCCACACATGATATGTTCTTTGAGGTGGAGATGGGTAACGTCTCAGACGTGTTGCTAGAAGACAAAAGAGGAAATGTCTCAGTGTTATTTTGGTTTCATGACGTCCTCAAGTTGTCCCTGTTTGCTCAAACATGATATCCTGCAGAATATTTGATTTACCTTCCGCCATGTTTTTTATAATTTGGTGACTTACTTCTTCAGGTCGAAGACTGAGACTCTGTTTCCAACAGGACTGATCACAGCGTTTCCATCTTTAGAGAAACTCAAGTTCCCCTGACGATAAACTGCACCGAGCAGATTAGAAAACTACAGAAACACACAGAGGATTATTCAGTAAATCACTCAGAACTTCCTGTTCGAGAGAGAAAACACACCGGGAACACATTCAATTATTAATGAAATAATGTAAACAAATGCTGTTTTAGCTTTAGCCGAATTTTAGTGCGAATGCTAACAAACCAGAGTTTAACTTTAAAACGTGCTGAGCGGTTCTTAATCAGTAGCGAGAAGCAAGAACATCTGGAATTTAGCAAATACTGAACGAGGTTTGGGCTAACGTTGCTTCCCATACACACAATGCAGTGGAGTTAGCTCCCAGTGGCTAACGGCAGCTAACAGTCTCGTACTCACTCTGTAAGCGAACTTCATTTTGATTAATCTTCCTCAGACTCGGAGCGTTTCTCTTCTGTTTGTCATCGAACCATTGAATCGTGTAAATAAAACTGCAGAGCCGCTGTGACGCATGCGTCTTCCTCTCTGCCTCCACACGTGTTTGAGTTGTGTTGACACTTTGCACTTCCGGCTTGAGCTGAGCGGCAACGCAAAGAGACAGCGCCCTCAGGCGGCGGGGAGGAGAAACCAGTCCAAGATGAGAGCACCTTTCTTTTCTCAAATACTTTAAAAATACTTTCTTATAAAAATATATTTATAGGTAGTAAATGACAAGGAAATTAAAGTATCATATAAACACAACGTGGATCGTTTTGTTTTTATATTAATACCCTTTAAAAGTATTTTTAATATCCTTAACAACACACTGAATATCATAATATGGCTATTTTTTTTACTTCGTTTTCAAAGTATGATGGATTTATTCATTCTATTCTTCCTTATCAATAATAATAATGATCATTTATAGAGAATCTTTCATGGCACCCAAGGCAAGAGAAACTAAATTTAGGTTAAAAGCTGATTAAAACTTAGGAAAGTAAAAATGTATTCACTTTTATTCATAAAACTACAACGTCTGCTCACGCACTGATTATCTTCATAAACCAGTTTCTTGAACCAGATCAACACCAGGTCGTTCTTTCTTCACACGACCCCTCGCGTCCATTTTTAATGCCCTTGCTGAATAATTAATCGCGGCCACGCGGCACACACGTGTGGAACCCAGCCGGGGCCAGAGGACAAATGGAAATCGACACTGGGTAAAAGTGAGAGACGACAATGAGTTCACGTCGTTCTCTGGGGAAGTTGGCTCGTGTTGGAGTGACGGTTCACGGACGTTTTCAAAGTCCAGTTTTCATGGTTTTTATTCAAACATGTGAAAAACAGTGACAGTTGAACAAAACAAAGCTCCTCCCACGTGTCAGAGTTCCTCTTGTTTCACCGAAGCGTTTTGTGCCAGAGGTCAAAGCAGGGCACCACGTGCAGGCGGACATATTTTTGGCCTCCGGCGGAGCACTCCAGGCAGCCGTACACGGTTTCCCGCCGCTGGTTCCCCATGCCGCACAGCGCACAGGGGCCCTTCGGGATGTTGTGCTTGAGGAGGTTGACCCGTGTGTGGGTGTTTTCCCTCAGGTAGGCGGTGGACACGTCCGTCATGCTGGCGGCTTTCTCGTAGTAGTCCGTCACCATGTCGTCCATGTAGGTGTCGGAGTGGGTGAGCTCCTCAAACGTCCGGTCGTCTGCGCAGGAGATGGATCAGGAGAGAGCGATGCAGGAATAACTCATTGTGCAGCAGAGGTTTTCATCGTACCTGCTCTGAAGGGGTTTCCGTAGATGATCCCGGACAGGAAGCGGCGCAGTCGACCCATAGAGAAGTGACCGATGAAGCCTCCGAGCTGCTCCCGCATCTGCTCCCGCTCAAATCCGCCCTGAGACTCCGGAGCAACGCAGATATCTGAAAGAAGAAAACAGCAGAAGACAGCTTTTGGTGCCGACTCTAACTTTAGAGCAGAAGAAGACTCTTTCAAACACACTGTGTGTGTGTGTGTGTGGTTGTACCGAGCCGCCCGTCCAGTCGAACAAACAGCTGACAGACGCTGAAGGCGATGGTGGTGTGAGCCGGGATGACGATGGCCTTGTCTCGACCTCTGGGGTTCCTCCCGTCGTCGATCTGAAACTGTGACGACACAAATTAAACTCCAGGACCTGAACACCGGCAGAATTTGGATTTTGAGGCCTTTACCCTCATGGTGGTGCCTCTCATCCCGGCGTGGACGGTCAGGGAGCACTGCCGCGTGGTGCGGATGCTTTCCACGACCACGCAGAGGACGCAGCGCTTGCTCTCCTTCGACTGACGGACCAGGCAGTGATCCAGGTCCACTTTCCTGAGAGACAACACACCCGTGAACTCTGATCTCTGATCTCGTGTAGATCTGACGCCAATCATGTGAAACACCTCCAGTCTAGTGTGTGTGTGTGTGTGTGT